ACTCCAAAATATGCTGCTTCAGTATGCTAATTAGTTCAAACTGAGGGCTAGAACAGCGAGCTGCACACAGGAGGTGCCTAATAAATACTTGTCGAGTAAACTAATGAGTGGATGTGTTTTTGGCATCCCTGGTGCTTGTTTGCTGTGACTACCCCCACCTCGTCATCACAGCTGCAATTACATGGTTGTAAAGAATAATAAGCTCCATCTGAGCCAGTTCTGCGGCAAATCAGCCTGGGAATCTTAATCCTTTTTAATAACAAAGGTAACACCCTGATCAACAATATGTCCTGTTGCCCTCACCAAAGCTACTTGGGGGCTCTCCAAGGTGAGGGTCTCACAGGCAGCACCCTGATAAATGACAGTTGTCCCCAGCCAGAGGTAGGAGAAAGGGGAGCATCCTGGCTAGCAGCCTTCCATCCTCTGTCCCACACCCTCATGGCCTTATGTCTTGGAGGTATGAAGCCACTAAGAGGCTAGGAATCAAGGCCTGGGTGTGACAGCGCCTGACCAAGTTCTCACGGTGCCATGGCTCAGAAGCACCTGCCTTCTGCTGACACCATGGCAGCCCCTCGTCAGGAGGTAGTGACAGAGCTAGACATGCTTGGCCTCTAGGAGAGAAGGCTCTGAGCTCCCAAGAGCATCACCTGTTCCAGGGGGAGGAGCCAGAGCATACAGGACCAGTCACAATTATTGCTCTTTCCTCTCTTCTTCATCTTCTTTGTTCTCCTTTTCCTATTCATCATTACTACAAGTCACAATACAAGCTGTTACCCATAAAACCCCAAACCTGACCTTTTCTCAACCTGCCCATTTGCCAAGTTTCACTTGAACTGAAAACAACTGGGGAAAACAATTGGCCTAGCCTCACACATTGATTCAACCTACTTGTTTTGTTCTTTCCATTACATGGATTGAGGAATAGGCTTTAAAAATGCACAAATATCATTCAGGGCTTCTAAGCAATAACTATTTTCCAAAACACAAATGACCAAGAACAGTCCCAAACTCATGAGCTAGCTGGGATACGGGTGGCACTGCTGGGTTGCCCACCACAGTGGCAGATACACTGACATCCCAACTCACAGCAGAGAAGCCACTGCCTGCCCAAATCACCCTGTGCACTTACTTCTGGTGCTTAGAACCTCATGTGGAGGCATTTTGATTTTGTAATCATCATTTCTTTCAAGTTAAAAATTAAAGTGCATGGGGAGATGGCTCAGTGGAATAAGCACTTCCCTGGCAAGTGCAAGGGCCTGAGTTCAATCCCTGGTTCCGCAAAAAAAAAAAAAAGAAAAGAAAAAGAAAGCTTTCAATCTATAAAAGGCTTTCCACCCTTTTTACATTTTGCTAGTACCCTTTGTCTTCTGTTGTTGTTATAGAACAGAAAGGAGGATTTCATACCCTATTTCATCACACAACAAACATTTCTTGGGTAATTCCTGGGGATGGCAGTGTAATGAAAAAACAAGGGCCATACTTCAGAGGAGCTCATGGTGACTGGAGTGTTTAGTCGAGCTAGGCTGCCTTATGTTCCCACAACAAGCTCACCTCAAAATGTTGCATTTACCCAGCAGGAGGATGGTAGGGCTCTGCTTCATGAAGTCAGTCAGAAATCTCACCATTTCCATGCAGGGATAGGGGTTCACCCAAGCAGGGAGGGGAAAATGGGGTGAGGGTGCATCCAGGTCAACCTTCCTCCTTCCCATTGGTCAGAACATGGCTCACAAGGCTGAAAAGGTGCTAGGAAATGAGGAGAAACCATGGTTATTTGTTGTACAACAAATGTCTCTCCACATGGCCAGAGAAAGACATTAAACAGGCAAGAAAACAGCTCTCTAAAGGCAGTGCTGCATACAGAATAGAGAATCTGCTACACATACAGAGGATCAGCTGAAGAGCCGACTGGTAGAAAGCTAGGTGGGTCATGTACTGCGGCATGGGGTCCAGGGCACAGACCTGTCCCCAAGGGGAACGCTTAGTGTCCCCCCACTACAGCCACCGCAGGTGGGTTTCCTTCTCACCCTCTGCTTTGGATGGCAAGGACCTGTCTCATGGCCCCCCACTGGACCTCTCTCAGCCCTGGCCACCTGTCTGCTTACCCTAACCTAGAGTCCTCGGGGCTCCCCATAATGAGCATGTCCCTTCCCTGTTGAAATAACAGTTAAATCCAAATTCAAAAAAAAGAAAGTTAAGATAAGGAAATACATCATCTTACACTCCAGAAGTCTGGAAGGAGAAGGATGCTCGACTCGGACTCTGAGTCCAGTTCTGCCCCAGTGTCCTCTTGGCATCCCTCCTCTACAGATCAGCATTGCCCTTGGTGACAGCAGATGTGCCAGACACTGTTTTGCCCTGGACAAGTCCATCCCTTATGCCTCTTCACTAACAGAATTCAATCTTTAGAATTTCTCTTAAAATTATGATGACTGGGATGTTGAGGTTTAGATTCTATGTTGCGGTACAGAGTCTGGGCAGTGATTTTGATTTTTTTTTTTCTTTTGGTAATGCTCTTCAAATGATCTAACATGCTGTCAGAACTGGCATAAGCCAATAACGAAGCATGGCTCCCCCACCAGAGATAATTAAGGATGATCATGTGACCTAGCAGTGGGCAGCAGCATCTGAGGGGAAGTTAGTGTCTCCTAGGAGTTCTGGCAAAGATTCTGCAGCAGTCTAGGTTGAGATGATTGTAGTCACTCTGGTCATAGCTATCATTTCCCTCCCTAGATGATCCTGGCATGAATATCAAACCTTAGAGGACAATAAAACCATTAAGATAGCTGGCCAAGCGAGCTGTCCTGGCCCCTGATGACCAGACTATTTCTTAATTGGCCCGGAACTTGTTAGTAGGTTTTGAGAGAGGCCAGCTGTCCTCGGGGCAGCCACAGCCCATTTTGCCCATCTTAGCATATTGCCCTTCCTCCTGCCTGGGTGCAGGTTCACCTGTGCATCTCTGCTGAAGACACACTGCTACCCCTAAGTCCCGAGTTCACTTCAATTTTGCAATCCTGATTTTTTTTTTTTTTTTTTTTTTTTTTTTTGGTGGGCGGAAGGGTCTACAGGGTATTCAGGGTCTCACTACTAGATCAGACTCGTACTGATCTGCCTGTTTATAGCCTCCCAAGAGCTAGGATTGCAGGTGCACGCCACCATGCCCAGTCTCAATTGCTGTCTCAGTCATCCCCAGGGGCAGGGCCAGCAAGGCAGACCCAGGAATCGAAACCCCAGCCCCCGTACCTGCTTGCAGGTGCTTTAATCCATGCAATCCTGATCTTCCTGCCTCTTCTCTTTGGTCTCATGGCTCCTTCTGTCTTCAGCGGTTAGTTCTCATACCTCCACACGGGGTTGCTCTAAGATCCAGGGTTCCCCTAGCTGTTTCAGTTACTATAACCAGTTACCATAACCAACCGTTGTGCTCCTCTTCTTGCCTTTCAGTCAACTTCTTGCTCCAGTGTCCTCTGAGCAGGGTCCCCTGCCTGAGATTTCTGCTCATTCTGGACACCCGGGTATACTGGTTCCTCACTCAAGCCACCATCACCACTAAACTCCCTCTTCTGATCCAGGGGGAAAGATGGCAGGGTGTTGGGAGTCAGGAGACTCTGTTGCCTCTCATTTGCTCTAGGACTATAGCAGCCAGCTCAGTGTGGGAAACAGAAACCACTCTAGGTATATTCAGTAGGAACAGGTTCAATAAAGGCAATAATCAAAGGGGTACTGAGCTTCCAGCAATGTTTCCTGGGATGCATCAGATTTACATAGTAGAGTCCACCTCTGGGACTGTAAACTTCAGGAATTTACTGCTTCAGAATCAACCAAGGGACCAGGAAACAGGGCCTGGGAAGCCAGCACTATGACCTTAACTGCCTTTGGATCCCAGCAAAAGAGATGAGTGGACAGACACAGGACTGGTGGTCAGAACACCCTGGATCCAAGTCCACACAAAGTGCCTCTGAAGGGAAGAACTTAATTCTTACCCGGGGCCCTAGCTTCATGGAATCCTGAGGAATGTGGCCTTTAGCTTTCTGGCCACTTATGAAGGAAAGCCAAGAGCAAGATGTAAGAACTGATGCTGGAGACCAGCTGGCCATACCCAGCCCTGCACAGTGGATGCACAGTTCCTCTGATCCTATATCTTGTTTTACAAAGTGGATATTATGTCCATGCTTGTCTCGTAGGGGTGGTGGGGGGTTAAATGAGATTGTGCAGGTAAAGCACTTGGCATGATGCCTTCTCAGAGGACAATTAGTGTCAGTGATTAGTATTTCTAACACTCCTCCTGCACTGAGCCCCATACTCTGAAATAATCACCCAAAGTTATTGAGTGGGTGGAAAGTTTACAGAAGGCTTAGAAAGAATGGCCCTAAGACAGTGGCCCAGCCATGGGTCAGAGACCAGCAAGACCCTCACTTGACCCAGATCTTCCTGGACAGGCTGCTTTCTCGGCTCCGCCTGTCGGTTCAGCCTTGCCAGGGCAAAGCTAACCACCAGCCAAGACTGTTATATAAGCAGCATCTTTTCCTTTGTTTACAGGAAATTTTGAAAACACCAAATGGGCTTGGCCTAAACTGCTTAATTCCTTAAGGCAACAGAAATTGTCTGGGCAAGCAAGGCAGTTGCATGCGAAGCAGCCGCCCAGGCCTGGAGCCAAGGCCAGCAGGACAGGCAGCCCCTGGCAGGCTCCAGGTCCACCCACTCTTCCCTCCAAGACCCAGATCTTGAGGGCCTGGGGGACACCTGTGTGTACACTCTTGATAGGACTGGGCCCGCTGCCTCAGTTTCCCTGCCTGGCTCTGAAGTTCTCTGCCCTAATGGTAGCCCTCCACTAGGCCAGACCCTGACTTGGGAGTCAAGTTTATTGTCCTGAACAATTTGGAAATGTTGTTTAGCTTTTCCCAACACGTGGAACACTAGCCAGCCTCTTAGAAAAGCAGGAGTAGGAAACATCTCACCTGGGTGGGGAGAGAGGACAGAAACAGGTGAGGCAAAGAAGTAACTCCCTCCGTGCTTTGACTCAAGTTTCCAAATGCACAGGTGAGGAGAAAGCCCATGGCCTCTGTTCCCTCAGGTGACCATGGTGTAGAGCAAGTGTCAACTTCGCAAAGGAGCATCTTTCCTATCCTGGGCATGTGGCCCAGCCCCGGTCCCCTGGTGCTGCGTCCACAGAACATCTTCACTTTGCACCGGGCCAGACATGATCTCACAAGTCCTCGTGTGACCCATGAAATAAACGTCTATGCTGGTAACTTGGCTTGGGAAAGACAGCTGTCTCCCAAAGCTCGTATTGCTAATGGGAGTTTACAGGGCTGGAAATGGGGGAGAAACTGGAGTAATACCTCCCCTACCTCAAGAAGCCAACAGGGTGAAACCAGAGGAGACCCAGTGTCTGCAGATGTCCTGGCGTGATGAGGGAGCCTCCCCAAACATCTGACACTGAGTTTTGTGCAGGCCAACATTTGTTAGGTAAGACTCTGTGAGAGAAGAGTTCCACCCTGAGGAATGCAGGGCTGTGGAAGCTTCCATTAAAGCCATCCTGAAGAATGCTATGAGAAAGGATTTTGAAGATGCCCAGCTGATGACTTGCCCTCAGGAAGATGAGCCGAGCCCTGACCAGCACTGCTGAGTACGCTGTGGGTCAGCACCTCAATTAGTTTTGACCGTTGCTCCTTCACAGTCTGCTTCTCTCTCCCTGTAACTCTGATGGTGGGACCCCGCTGGCCACAGATGAAGCAGGTCATGTACACTGCCAGGGAAACAACTTCCCTTTGAAAAAGCCTGGATTGTGGAGAAGGAAATGGAGACATTTCTCTGGCCTCTGGGGAGAAACAAATGGGGCCCAATCTTGGCTCCTTCACATCCTCACCCCAGCGCTCAACTGCTCACATGTAGGATAGCACGTGTCAGAGACAGAGGGAACACAGATGGGACCTCCATGCAGGTCCTCCTGGGTGGCAAAAGGTGAGGCCATGGTTCTCCCTGTGGGCTCTGGCTTGACAGGGAGCCTGAGCACCTGGGCTGAGTCCTGGCTGTCACTCTCCAGTAGGATAACACAACAACCTACTGGAACGTGGGCTGAATAAAGGCACAGTGGAAACCATGGTGAGCAGAGGCCCATGGGGCCAGC